AAGCTACAACGCCACAATTTGTTTCAAATGTTCCTCATTGTTAATAATTTCCGTGTTCGTGCTATATTTGATGGAGGGAGCAGCAATAACTTGGTAAGTTCTGAGCTTGTCAAGACCCTTGGTTTATCTACACGTGCTCTTCCACATTCATACCATGTTCAGTGGTTCAACAATAGTGGTAAGGCAAAGGTAACACAATCTGCTCGTGTGCATTTTTCTATCGGATCATATCATGATTATGCTGATTTTGATGTTGTGCCTATGCAAGCTTGTTCACTTTTGTTAGGCCGCCCTTGGCAATATGATAATAATGTTTTACATCATGATAGGCAAAATAGATATACTTTTATGTTTAAAGGAAAGACTATTGCTTTACTTCCTTTAACTACTGCTGAAATTATGCAATATGAAAAGGAACTTGCTGAAAAGAAAAAGAAAGGACATGATAAAGACTTTAGCAAACCAGCAAATAAATCATCAAGTAACATGAAAGAAGTTTTATTTGCTCTTAAATCTGTTCTTGCTGATCATGATGAACCATGTTATGCTTTAACTTTACATCGCTTATATGTCCACTTGGTCCTGCTTCTAGTGCTATGCCTCTTGTTGGTACTAACCTTTTGCAGGAGAAGGAGAATAAATTTCCAGCAGGGAGGCCACCATGGCAGCCGCCTTTACGAAGGATTGGGCGCCAAGATGAACGTCTTCTTCCGGAACCATCGTTGCTGTCATCCAATGGAGGAGATGATCTACTTCAGTCGAGGACGACTTCAATTCAAGAAAGAGAGGATGATGAGGATATCACTACTTCGTCGCATACAAGCCAAGGAGAGGAGGAGGTCTAGCATGGGCGTCCAATTCATTTTTCTCATGGTGGAGGCTCAGTCCAACTGAAGTTGGAGCACATCTCGGGTTTCAGGACCAGTCTACCTTAAACTGGTCACCCAGGACGCATCCGGACTTCGTTTTCGACGATCTATATATGGTTGGAAAGCTAATTTGATAAGGAAGCCAATGCAAGTGGTCCCACATCAAAAGCCCTTCGGAATCAACGAGAATCGTCGAAACAAGTCAGCGTCCAGAATCTACCAGGGTGCTGCGACACCGTCTTTTGGTCCATTGGACCGTGTATCGTGTTTGGGCCCATTAGGGGGCGCGTCCAGGGGGGTGACGCCCAAGACTCTATAAATAGCAGTCGTCGCTCTCTTAGGATTTGGATTTTGTTTAGTTCTTAATTTCCTTGTGAAACAGACGTTGTTTTGCTGCAACTGTGCCGCCAAGGCTGCTTGCTGTAAACCAGGGCCCTAGTTTTTTATCTTGTTTGCCTGTGGCAATTAGTCCTTTCGAATAAAGACTTGAACTCCTTCTTGTTTTCATAAGCCTCATATCTATTTGTAATTTCAGATTGCGTTTATTCCATTCTTGCTTGTGTTCTCGATTCATAGGAAAGCCTTCTCGGCGAGGTCAATCGCGTTCGCGTGGTTGATAACCAACGGAGCAGTGGTGTAACGGTTGCGGGGGGTTCGAATCAGTCTTGGTTCGAAGTCTAGATCGTGAACGTCGAGTCTCCACCAATCGACGCTATCATATTTTTCGGAAGATCGGGCCTAGTCTACGTCACGGTGATTCCATGAGTTTTATTCAATTTTATTTACTTGCCTTCCAGTGTCTCCATGCGGTGATTATTTGCCTGCCGGATATAGATCGCATGAGTGTTTTGGTCCTACGGGGTAGATGTTGATAATCCGTATATTTTAGTTGTAGAAGAGATATAATTAACTATACTTTTGACACAAACACGAGAAACGATGGAGACAACGGCTTTCAAAAATGAAATTTGATTTTTTGGAGGTTGGTAACCTTTTGTTTAGTATAAATGTCCACGTCACAAACTGGACGTTTCCTTTTAAAAAAAACTGGACGTTGAATTATTCGTTTGGCTTAGCAAATTTATAACCTGGTTTCCAATCCATCACAATCTTGAGCCGCCTTTTATTATTCAAAACTTGTAGTCACTTTTATAAACTTGAGCTGCCTTTCGAAATTTTAGAAGCTACTCCGAAAGATTAGACAGACGACATAACTTGTGATTACAAAGTGTATAGCTCCGATGAGCACTTCGTCCGTCACTAAAGAATACTTGTATTAGCCGTACATATGAGGACATGTGCTAAGCCGGAAGCTTGAACCCGACCTCGAGGTTATTTTTTTTTATTTCGATTAACTTGTGAGTCATGGTGCAAATAACATGGCTACCAAAAGCGAATAGTGACAATTCACGTACACTGGTTTACTAACTCGTGCACGATTACATTTCTCTCATTATGTCATTTTAGCTCATTTATTATCTCGGATTGTACTATGGATGGATGCTTTTGTTCTCACTTTTCTCTTTAGAAAGAAAGAACACAACGGCCCTTTATTTGAATTGCAAAACAATTGGCTTCCCCGTTGCCTAGCGGTGTTGCTTGTTGGTTCTGGCTTAGTTAGAGGCAATTTGCTTACCCAATTGCCCAATCATATGTCCCGTTGCATTCAAACTATAGGGTTCGCCTAACCTTTAGCCTAGGATAGAAGTTCGGTCGACACATCGCACGAGGAAAAACAGAAACAGGCACGTAAGTATGCCACCAGGAAAGAGAGAGAAAAGAATTCGCCAATCATGATGAAATACTTTGGTCTTGTTAATAAGCAACAACCAGCTAGAAAGAGCTTGTAAATCTAAATATAGACGGAACCAAACGCCCTGTTCGCTTGTCTTATAAGCCATATTTTTTCAGCCAACGAACAATATTTTTTTCTCACACCAAATCAGCCAACAGTACTTTCAGCCATGACTTATCAGCCAAGCAAACGGGACAAAAAGCCGTGCTGATCGTCGACGAAAATACCAAGATCTTTGCCGAACCCCACGGCGCGCCAACCCTTCTTTCCCCGTTGCCTAACCGTGCCTCACCCTTCTAGGTAGGAGAACGATGCTGCCGTTTACCAGAAGAGAACCCAACTATTCTCGCGGAGAGCAGAGAAGAAGCGGTCACAGCCCGGATGGATGGGTTTGTGGTGCGCTCGCGAGAGGAGGAGACGTGCTTGGACCCGCAATCGAGCCGTGCACCGCCGGGGATCGAAGGCGCGTGCGGACACGGCGCTCCTCCGATCGTCCACACGACCACGCTGGCCGTTACCAGGGTCCCCGGGCATGGTCGCCGACTTGGCTTGGCTATGCGTGCCGCCAGCTCGTACGTGGTGGAGTAGTTTTGAGTTTTGACTCGGGTGGACGGCCGAATGCGGTCTAACCGTTCGTTTATTTTTTCCAGCGGTGAAACAGCTGACCAAGGCGGATGTCGCAGGCGGTAGGTGACCAAGCGGTGAAACCAGCGGTCTAACCGTTCGTTTATTTTTGTTGGGTCAGGGACTCATCAAGGTAAAAGAAAACGAGTTGGAGAGAGAGGTGAAGTACGACACGCCGTACCAAAGCGAGTACAGCCCGGGGGCATGCGTGCAGAAAACGAACTGTGGAATCTGGAATGCGACCGCCGCCGCAAAAAAAAGATTAGAAAAATAAGGAGGGATCTGAGCAATCAAGGCGTTGCGGCTTTTCCAAGGAGAAAAGTAGAAGAAAAAAGAGACGAAGAAGATGCGATGGAAAGATGGATGACACGTCACCTATACGTACTTCTATATCTATTAATTTTTATAGACACTATATTTAAAATTATGGTCCTAATAAATAGTTGTACACAACAATTTTTTATCTAATCATATATGTTCTCTCTTTATTCTCTACCAATCACATCCATTCGTGTTTTGGTTCTCGTGTATACGTGGTTTCTAACTTAGACCTAATTTTTATGATTTTTGTTCTATCTCTTCAATAACTATCTTGCCACATCAGCAAAACACTTAGATGACGGTACAATTAATGTCCATAGAAACCATGAACATTTCTACATTAGGAGTGCCTTTATACTACGTAACTGCTTAATACTACTACAGTGCCGGTCCAACAACCGTTCAAGCTCGGCTTTGATCGAGAACTCCCGTTGCCAAATGCTAAGCCAAGTGGTATGGTATCTTCAGAGAAGCACGTGTGTCCTGACCGCGCTGGATTTCACTTGAAGCAAGACTCTTCTTATTGATGATAAATTACGAAACTCCGGCGTCGCAAAGACGAGACGTGAGCTTAGTATTCACCGAATATTTGGAGGTGCAAACCATGCTAAGCGTCATGGCGGTCAGGCAGTCATGCTCTTGTATAGTCCTATTGGCTAAGCGTGGCTACCTAGAACACGTACGGCGACACAAACAGGTACGCGTCAGATTAATGATACCAATACCATCAAGGGATAACAGCAGTCAGTCACCGGCCATCGCATAAACTATCAATTTCAAAAACAAAAAAAAAGGTTGGATCCTGGACGAGGCAAAGCTACAGCGCATCGCAAGCTAGTTTACAGCACGAGAAAAAACAAAGGTCAAGTCAAATCCGAAATGGAGACTCTCGATCGAACCGGAGCATAACAAACTGCACAATGATCCGAAGGGCAACGTCAAACCGAAATTGAATAGATCAACGCCAGCCTGGCCCCTGTGATTATCCGCGTCCACATGATGGCGACCCGAACAAACAGCATTTTAAATTCCAACAAATAAATTTCGGCTGCGAGTTTCTTTCAATTCCATCTACTATTATGAATTAATTAAAAGGAACTGCATTAATCAGTTTTTAGTTGGCAGAAGATTGATGGAAATCAGACACGCACCTGGATAGATGTGGTTAATTGGGTTGCCATCATCATGCGATATTGACATGCCAGCGGGCAGCGGCAGCGGAGAAAAGTTCATGTAAAACGTGCGTGGCTGACCGTCCAAGCCAAGCGGTGGAAACAACGCGAGGCGCCGCGTCAAAACGCAACGGCAGCGCCCGCCCTTCCGCCGAGACCCCGTTCCCGTTCATGTGGGCTTTGGCTTGCCGTTCCCCCATAAACTCCACCTCCCCCGCATTACTGCGCTCCCTCCCATCTGGCCATCTCCGCCTCCGCTGCTGCTGCTGCTGCTGCCCCTGCTCCAGCTCGGACGAGCCTCTCCCCTCCCTCCTCGTCGCGTCCCACATAGCCGTGCCTCCTCCTCGCCGCCGCGCCCCACCGCTCCGCAGCCCACACTGCCCCGATCCCGCCGGAGTGCCCGCGGCGCCCGCACACGCGCCCTTGCCTGCGCCGACCGACCGCCGGCGAGGGGTCTGGGCGCTTGGTCTCCGTGACCTCCGCAGGCGCGCTTGGTGTCTTCGTCGTCCGGCTGGTTTCCGCCAGCCTCGCTGCCCGCGAGTGGCGTCGTGCCGGCGGCGGTGCGGGAACAAGGCGAGGGCGGCGCGCCTTGTCGCCGTGCGGGCTGACATGACTTGATCCTTGAGGTGCGTGCGGTTGCTGGCTAACCTGCTGGAAATAACATGGGTGATAAAAGGGAATGGGAATGGGGGCAAATTCAGGAGATGATACTCGTACTACCAGAATTTTATCAACCAAATCAAGAAGCTGAGGTCCCTGTTCTAATTTTGTGAAAAACTGGCATGTGTCAAATCTGGCTCCGTAACTGTTCAACTCATCGCCCTCTTCGTCGCCGGTGTACGCGGTGCCGAATCGGCGTCCGGTATCCGTCCCACCGAAGCACGCCAACCACCCCGAGCGCTCTACTCCCTCGTTGTGGTTGCTGCTGCAACCGGCGCTCCCTTCCCTTAATTGGTATGTCATGGCGTGGAATGGGAGATTCATCCAGACTTGGATAGGTTTCTTTCCTTGTTAAGGATCCCTACTTGCTTGGAGGAATTTTCCTGGAGTGGGGTTTTGTTCTAGGAGATCTTCTGTGCGATGTGAGCAACCGGATCCATATCGTCCTTATTCTTCATTAGTACTATTAGATTGCTTGCTTCACAGTGGAGTATCCATCCATCCATCCACGGTTCTGGTTTAGTTCTGTTTTAGTTTCTCTTCTGCCGTGCGTGTAAGATCGTCTCAGTTGATGTTGACGCCATTTATATTCCTAAACATAGGATAATTCGCAGTTTTTACTGAATCCTCATGCTCCATGCCAAGGCCGCCCCAGGTTTTCCTTTGTCGGCTTTGAAGATTATCCTTCACAAGGAGATACTTTTGGTATTATGCTTTAGTCGTACCGAAATGGAATATAACTACTTAATTGCCAATAAGCCAAATTAGGCTGATAAAGTAACGGGGTGGAAAAGGAAAAGGTCCAGAATTGGGCGGTGAAGATATTATTGACACCCTTCTTTTGTTAATATAAACTATTAGATGCACATTCTGAGACTATGTAATACCATTCTTGTTTAAATCAGGTAACTTCATTAGCTTGGGTTACAGAATAGTAACTAGCACAATATATAATGAACATGTAGTGACACAGATCATACTCTCAGACCTAGTATGCAATGAGGAGGGTGATGGGATAAGGACCAACCTGGAACAATGAGAAGGGGGATGGGATAAGGACCAACCTGGAACAGCTTTTTTTTTTAGCTAACACCAGACTCAACCCCACATAGATATGTTATCTGTTACCCAAACTTATAAATTTATTTGTTTCTAATAGGTATCCTTTTTTGACGTTTCTAGAGAAATCTTATTGTAGTTTCTGTCTCTACGTTTCTTTGGAGGCTTTGGGAGAGGAAGGTAGTTGAGAGTTCTCTATGAATCACAATATATTTCCTAGCCCATCCCCCTTTGTCAGCTATTGGTTGAGAGTTTTGCTTTTGGTTCAAAGACATCTTTCCAGAGTTGATAATTGTGTATCAATTACTGATATAGTGTTGTTTGATCAGGCTTTCCCCTCAACTGTAATCATGAGAATTGAGAATTGATTAAGCTGATTGATACTTAATATCTTACAAATTTCAGTGATTTGTTTAGGTAAACACATTGCTTCATTGCAATTCCTTGTGACATGTTTGTCTTTTTTTTATGTGTTGCAGGTTTAGGATGTGTACAGAGGGGCTGTATTCTTGTGTATAGGTTCTCTTTCTATTGATCAACTGTTGCTGATTCTGACGGAATGTTGGAGGATCAATCTTGCCTGATATCAAGGTCGCTGCCGAGTTCCTGTGAGCAGGAATCCAGACTAGCTTACATGACTTACCACCTACTTGAGATCACGAGGAGTAAGCGCCCGCCTGGGACCCTGTCTATTGAGCACGACATTGCTGCAGTGGCAGCATTGACTAAACGGACCAAGTCCGCTGAGGACCAAAATGGTGAGGCACTGGATTGTCAAGGAAGTAATGATCAGGGCGACTCAGATTCAAGCACCCTGATAAGTTCCATTGGCCGGGACAACTCAATCAACTGCCTTGCTCGTTGTTCTCGTTCTGATTATGGATCTATCGCATCACTGAACAAGAGTTTTCGATCACTTGTCTGCAGTGGTGAACTGTACAAGGAACGTCGACAGCTGGGGATTTCAGAACACTGGGTCTACTTCTCTTGCAATGTGCAGGAGTGGGAGGCGTATGACCCCTACCGTTCACGGTGGATGACGCTTCCAAGGATGCCCCATAATGAATGTTTCATGTGCTCTGACAAGGAGTCACTTGCTGTGGGCACTGAACTTCTGGTGTTTGGAAAGGAGATTCTTTCACATATTATTCTGAGCTATAGCATTCTGACAAATTCATGGTCACAGGGTGTTGAAATGAATGCCCCTAGATGTTTGTTTGGATCAGCTAGTTTTGGAGAGAAAGCAATTATAGCTGGAGGCATGGATGCTGATGGAAGGGTGCTTCGTTCTGTTGAGCTGTATAACTCGGAAACTAAGAGATGGATAACACTTCCAAGCATGAATAAAGCTAGGCGAATGTGTTCTGGTGTCTTTATGGATGGCAAGTTTTATGTAATTGGTGGAATGGCCAGTAACACAGAAGTGCTGACTTGTGGAGAAGAGTATGATTTAGATAGAGGTACCTGGCGGGTGATAGAGAACATGTCTGAGGGGCTCAATGGTGCAAGTGGTGCTCCTCCACTTGTCGCTGTTGTTGAAAATGAGTTATATGCAGCGCAATACGCCGGAAAGTTGGTAAGAAAGTATAATAAAATGGATAACTCATGGACAACATTGGGGGAGTTACCAGAGCGGCCAGAAGCTGTGAATGGCTGGGGTATTGCATTCCGGGGCTGTGGAGAGCGGCTTTTGGTTATCGGTGGACCAAGAGTGCTGGGTGGTGGGATGATTGAGCTCCATTCTTGGATTCCAAGTGAGGGGCCATTGCAATGGAACATGATCGGAAGCAAATCTTCAGGTAACTTTGTTTATAACTGTGCTGTCATGGGGTGTTGATATGTGCACCCTCAAACATACTGTCGACACGAAAGATTGTGATATTGGTTTTATCAAATGGCATAAAGCACTGATTCCACCTGATGGGTAATCTCTGCATTCTTTTTGACATTTCAGATTTTACTCAAGGTTCAATAGAGTAGTCAGTTCCATGTACTCGTTAATAGTTACCCATTGGTTTCTGTTTTCAGCACATTTTATTTGCAGTTGATGATTTGTACCATGCTCCATATACTCTGGTGAAATGAGTTCTCTGAGATGGATGCATATAGGTGATAAATTGTAATTGAGGTAGCCGTGCATCTATATGATTGTATCACTGTGTCAACGCTGTAGTTCCATTGTGCAAATGTGTCTTTCCAAGAATTGCATGAAAAAATTGTTTATCTGTACATTTCCCAGCATAATTTTGAGCACCGACCTCTCCATGTTTGTAGTCTGCCTTTAAATCCTTTGAAACAGTTGGTGCTAAAGCCCTTCCACTTTCCTTTCAGTAGTAGGGATCCTACGCTAACTTTCTTAGCCTATGAGATATTATCAAGTGTTAGGCAGGTGCCCACTTTATTATATCCAAGATGGCGACAACTGCGGAGCTAATCAGTATATCATTGTCTGGTTCGTGCTTTGTATCGTGGAGATTGAGAGGCCATGTTTTCTTTGTCGAGTTGTGCCTATGATTAGCTTGATGGGTTTGTTTGGACCCCATCTGTCTGCAGCATATCTATGAAAATCTGCTGGCTGTGCCGTGCCTTTTAAATTTTTTTGTGCTCTTTCAGTTGTGACTGGGTGCTTTTCGGGTTGTCTTTTGTGCATCCGTTGGTAATAGGATTATTGGCTAGGATTTCTAAGGCATCATCCTAGAAGATAAGGAAAAAAGATAATTCAAACCTAAAATGCGCACTCTGTCCACGCACAATCCAAGTGAATCTACTTCTACCACTAAAAGAATACACCTCATTTGGCCTGTTCTAATTATTGTGGTGTCTCTAGCCAATCATCATTTCTGCTCATCGAGCACTTTTCTGCTTTAGCAGTAGCACTACGAATTATTGTCCTCGCATTCGATTTCTTGGTATTCCGGTGTTGTTGCTGTTGCATTATGACCTCTGTATGATCATTGGGCAACAACCCCTGGCGTCCTACTTTCGTTGACGAGAGCCCAAATCATCATCCCCAGGCCGCAGGCCTGTCGCTGTGCAGCTTCCGTTTCTATCGATCCACTCAGTCAGATTCACGAAAATGGAAGCCAGTGAGATTGATGACATGAATCACGGAGAGAGTGGTGTTTTTTCCCCTCACTTTTTGTTTACAGTCCTTGCCGAGTCGTGCGGTACAGTGCTGCAGCGCCCGTGGGCTGGGAGGCTGTTTCTGCCTCGTCGTCCTCTGCAGGCTGCACTGGCAGTCTGGCGGCACTGGGCACTGCCCTGCCCACTTCTTCCGGCTTGGTCCCGTTGCGAGCACGAGTGGAGCCTGGAGCCTGGAGCCTGGAGCCGTGGAGGTGGAGCGCACCACAATGGTACGATGGCAGGCAGCGACGTCGGAAAGATACTCCCGTCATCTCCATGCCTGCACCTGCACCTGCACTGTAGAGATGCGACGGGAAAGATACGGGTCTTGTTTAGATTACAAGTTTTTTCACTCTCTCTCACGTCAAATCTTTTGACACATGCATGGAGTATTAAATATAGATAAAAAAATAACTAATTACACAGTTTGATTGTAAATTACGAGACGAATCTTTTAAGCCTAATTAGGCCATAATTAAACAATAATTGTTAAATATAAACAAAAATGCTACCGTGCCAAATACTAATTTATAACCCCAATCTAAACAAGGCCACTGTTATCCGCGGGCGTACGCTTCGCAGGAGGCTACAGGCGTGCACTACTGTCCAACTCTTCTGATTTCTGGCAGTGGCTGCGCCTGCGCACCTGGGACCGCACGGCTGAGCGTGACCTCGAGGCTCGAGGGGCGGAGCCGTCGACGAGTTCATGCACTCGAGTGAGTGCTTCGTGCTGTCGTGCGGTAGTCGACTACTAGACGCGGTGACGTACTCCTAGGCAGGTACTAGGCACTGGCATGTGGCGACCGGCGAGTCAACAGCAGCAGTGTTTCCGCGAAATGTGAGCGAGAGGCATGGAGGACGTGGCGCACGGTGACCCGCGCCATTTCTCGTGCCGTCGTGCGCCCTGCCGTGCCCGAGCTAGCTCTGCGTTCGTACCGGGGCTTTTTGCCCTGCTGCCCCTCTCTGGCACTGGTGCCTGGTCCTCCGGCTGTCTCTTGCCACGGTCGTTTGCTTTGTAAGTCATAACTAAAAGTAATGTTGGTTGAAAGTAATGTTGGTTGATTTATGGTGAGAAAAAATATTATTCGTTGGTTGAAAAAATATAGCTTATAAAACGAGCGTACCCCTGCCGCGCCCTGCGCGCGTACGCCCTAATGCCGGCCCCCCATGCGGCCTCCTCGTCGGATGCATCCGCCTCCTTCCTCCGGCTGCCGCGCCGATGGATGCAAAGCGACCGCAAACCAGCCTAACGCGGTCCCTGACTGCGCGGCCGGTCCCCAGCGGGCGTCGAACGGCTCCGAGTGGACTCGGCTCTTTTCGGGGGGCTCCGCGCCCTCGTCTCGGCTGATCTGGAGCAGGACCACGGCCCGCGCGGTTGCGTTTGCCATTTGGGCATACTCCTAGCATGTGTCAATGTGTGCGTGACTGATGCGCGCCAGCACGGCCGCGGGCCGCGGCAGCGTACGCTCGCTACACGGCTACAGCTACGAGCCTTTTCGGGATGCGTGGAGCGGCGCGGCAGGCGGAGGCGGCAGCGGCAGCCTGGCAGCACGTGGGCACGTGCAGAGGTCGCAGGCTCCCATCCTCATTTGCCCCCTGCCGCAACCGCAAAACCAGCGGTCTGGTTTAGATTAAGGCCCCGTTTGGCAGGGCTTCACTTCACTAGTGAAACCATATATTTTTTTTCGAACAATTCTTTTCATCGGCTTATTAAATCTGTAGGAGGCGGGAGAATACTATATATATGAGAGCACGTTTTTTAAATATATTAAAGACGGCTCCAAGCGGCTCTGAAGTTCATTTGGAGAAAAAGCAGGGCCTTAAAGTTTTTTCACTATTTCTTCATCACATTAAATCTTTAGACATATATATAGAGTATTAAATATAGATAAAAAAATAATTAATTACATAGTTTGATTGTAAATTATGAGACGAATCTTTTGAGCCTAGTTAGGCCATGATTGGATAATAATTACTACCATTATTTGGTTGGTTTACGGGTTGGTTTTACTTTTTGGTCTTTGGTTTATTGTGAGAGAGGAAAACTCATTTACTTCATGGCGGGTTTGGACTCATTTAAAACCAACAAATTTACGAAGTGATTGATTGTTAAATACAAACAAAAGTCTTCTGAAGATTAAACATCGATTCCTAACCCCAATCTAAACAAATCCGAAGTGGTTTTCGGGGTTGTTCCTTTTCCCATGCTGCTCCTGCCTCCTGTAGTCATGCTCCTCTCCTCCTATCCTTGGTGATCCTTGGTTTGTCCTTTCCTGCGTTCGTCATTCGGTATATTTCTACTGCAAGTTCCAATGATTCATGCGACCGTAATTCTGTTTCCACAGAGTATATTTTAAGTTCTTTCTGTTTTAGGGGCAGTTTGTTAACAGCTCAAATTAACAATTATTGCAGTCGGGTATCTCTAGATCCAACAACTCATGGGCGTATTGAAGCTTTTTTTTGGTGAATCATCTTGTTTACATTTAGACTAAAAATAGAGAATCTATCCGCTTTATTTTAGCCAACACTGTCTAGATTTGATGAAGCAATTGGACTTAGATCTCAGTCACACAGGGTAATTCTGAATTAGTATTGCTAATATGCACTGAAGCTCATCAGTTCTACCGTATCCTTTTTCTTTTCTTTTATTATTTTTTTCTTCGACTCAGATGAATTCTAAAACAGCATACACTGGTATGCTCTAGGGCCACGGGCCATGGGTCTCACTCTCTCCGACACTAGCAACTTAGCATATAATTTCATGGGCCTACTGTAAACCACTTCTCTTGTCAAGCAACATTCAGCCCATCGTTTGCAAGAAAAGGCATTATTGCTTTTCTTAGAGGAGCCCATATATTGCATCGGGTCCAAAACCTCAAAAATATATGGAAAAAAGTCCCTTTTGCCTCCAAAACTGTCGCTACAGTCCATGTTTCCTCTTGAAACTCTTAAACAAGATAAAGTATCTCCATTAACTCTCAAAATCATTTAAATCTTCTCCTTGTCCGGTTAGAAGTGGGTTACAAGGTAGTTTCCTCCTTTCTATTAAAAAATTGATACACACCTGATAAGGTTTTTAATCCATGAAAAAATTGTCTAACCTCCTAAAAATTATGAGAAAATCCTAAAGATATATCCATGTAGGATAAACCCCAAAAAATACTTAGAGTTCATGGAACATATAACTCAAAGCCTCTATAAATGTATTCAACATGAATGCATCCATCGTTAATGTATGTTGCATTCATGCTCGTTGCATATCAAATTTTTGTCGTGGAAAGTATTTAGAAGGGTGTAAATGTTCAATATAATGTTTTGGGAAATTTTCAAAAATTTGGATATTTTTCTCAGGTTTTGAGAGAAATCTATTTTTAAAGCTTCTAGATATATTTCATGATATCTAAATATTTTAATTGGGTTCCTTGTATCCCAATCTATCTTTAGGGGCCCGCATCTTTTCACGCCGCTGCCGCCAGGGTCGAACCGCAGCCTGCGCTCCTCGGTCCACCGCCGCCGCCGCCGTGCATAGGGCCCCTCTCCTTCTTCTTCCCCGGTGCTTTTGCCGGAGACAAGGAGGGGAGGGGACCCATCCTTTTCCCGTAGTTTTCTAGTGTCTTAGAGTTGAGTCAAAATAAATTTTCTACAAAATCAGATGATTTTTGGTCGGGATCGTGTTTCATGCGATGACTTCAGTGATTGCCACGACAATGTTGTCGTTGCAGACGTCGATTTCATCAGCATGTGGGCAATTTGTGGCCTTTATCTGCAAGAGGAGGGGTGCTTCTGGGAGCCTCCTACGAGGACAGCGACTTCGAGTCATTGATCTCATTATTAATGGTCGCGGAGAGGATTCAAGG